TCTCCCGCCATCGTGCCCAAAGTCCCCAACAGGAAGCTTCACCATCCTTGCCTGTAAGATGCAGCCCCGTTGCACTTCCTCCGAGGCTTGTCTGTTTGTTCTTTTCACAATCCATGGGATGTTCAGTGCTCTTCTCCAACACAACAAAAAAACCCAAGTTTTCTTTTATCCTTCACAGTACCACTTTCAGATGCATAGGAAATAAATGAAAAGATCATCATTTGGATTGGCTGTGCCATTATCTGTACGCTGACATCCTTGTTCTTTAACACTTTGGAGAGATCCTGGACAGCAGATCTCCCCAGAGCAACATATTATTTGATTTCTTGACTGCTACTACCGTGGGTGTTGCTTTTGGATCCCACTGAAACAAAATCGTTGACAACTTCAATCTTTTCTCCATCGACAATGATGTTGCCTATTGACCTGATGGTGAAGACCTCCTATTTTTTTGATGTTGAGATTTAATCTTTCTTGAAGGCTTCAGTCTTTGATTTTTCTGCAGTAAGTGTTTTTTGTTGGTTTAAGTAAAATTTTTATCTTTTACTGGTTTACATTCAAAGTTCATATACATCATTTTTCATACCAGATCTTTCCCATTTCCTTTACCCACCCCTCCCTCCACCCATCAAATTCTGTAACCCTTTGATTAACCACCACCACCACCACCTGCCCACCCTCACCCCTCTGCTTCGCACCTCATCATCACACACATTCTACAATAATGGTCTTATACAATATTTGTCCTTATAGACTGAGTTAGTTCACTTAGCATAATGTTCTCCAGTCCCTCCCAAATTAAGTAATAATTTACAAAATCATTGCTTCTGTGTGCTGAGTAGTATTCCACCATGTGAATACACCGTAATTCCTCAATCCATTCAATAGTGGTTGTACATTTGGGCTGTTTCCATGTTCTTACAATGATAAATAACGCTGCTACGAACATTGGTGTAAAAGTCTCCATTTGTGTCTCAGTGCTCATTTTCTTGATGCATTTTCTCCTCACTTTCAGCAAAACAAATCGTACTGTCTGCATAATACAAACTGTCACAAAAACAATGCAGCCGGATTCCTCCAGCTCCAGACCACCAAACAGTCTCCGTGACCTGCTTCTGACGTAAACATGGTTTGGGGCAGTGTTTTTCTCTTCTCCTCCATCTGAAACCTGCATTGAACATCATCAACTACCCTAGAGGATCGATTTTTCATCACACATTTTGGTGTGATCGAGTAATTGCTCATTTTCAGAAATCTGTGGGACACCAATTGATATGTTTCAACTAAAAGACACAGCCCTGGACAAGCTCATCAGTGACCAGGAAATTTGGAGGATAGCTGCCTGGCCAATTAACTGGAAGAGATCTGTATTCATTCCCCTTCCAAAGAAAGCTGATGCAACAGAATGTGAAAATTATTGAACAATAACATTAATATTGCATGCAAGCAAAATATTTCTAAAGATCGTCCAAAAATAGCTAGAACAATACATTGACAAAGAACTTCCAGAAATTCAAACTAGATTTAGAGAGGTCATGGCAAGAGGGCTATCATTGCTGATGTTAGATGTATCTTGGCTGAAAGCAGAGAATATCACAAGAATGTTTATCTGTATTTCATTGACTATGAAAAGTCATTTGACTGCATGGATCATAATAAACTATAGGTAGCATTGAGAAGAATAGAAATCACAGAACAGTTAATTATGCTCATACCAAACCTATGTCTAAGCCAAGAAGCTGCTACCTAAACAGAACAAGGGACCACTACATGGTTTAAAATCAGAAAATATGTGTATCTGTGTTGTATCCTTTCTCCATACCTGTTCAATGTGTATCCTGAGTAAATCATTCAAGAAGCTGGACTCTATGAATAAGAAAGTGGCATCGGGATTGGAGTAAGACACAATGCTTAATGACTTCTTGCTTGCTAACAGTGAGGAGAACTTGAAATGCTTATGACAGAAGAACAAAGACTACAGCCTTTAATATGGATTACATCTCAGCATCAAAAAGACAAAATCCTCACCACTGGACCAATAAGCAACGTCCTGACTAATGGAGAAAATATTGAAATGGTCAACAATTTCATCTTACTTGGATCCACAATCAACAGTGTATCAGGAGAGAGATTGTTGGTATCAACAGCATATCAGGAGATACATTGTTGGTATCAACAACCTATCAGGAGATATATTGCATTGGGAAAGTCCACTGTCAGAGACCTCTCCCAATTAGTGAGAAGCAATGATGTCTATTGGAGGAGGGCACACTTGATTCAGACCATGGTCTTTTCAAAAACTAGTTATGCATCTGAGAGTTCGACAATGAATAAGGATGACAGACGAAGAATTGATACCTTCAAATTGTGGTGTTGGATAAGAGTACTGAGTATCTCTAATGGACTGTCAAAAGAACAATCAGAAATGTCTTGGAGAAAGTGTATCCAAGGTGCATCTTGAAGACAAGGGTGACAAAGCTCCATCGCTTATACTTTAGGCATGTTGCTAGAAGAAATTCTTTCTTGGAAAGAGATAGAATGATTGGAAGAGTAGAGGGTCAGTGAAAGACAGAAGACCCTAAACAAAATGGATTGACACAGTGACTTCAGCACTGAACTCAAATGTGCCAGATATGATAAGGATGGCACAAGAGAAAATAGAGGTCACACGGTCGCTATGAGTAGCATTTTACTTGAAGACATCTAATAACAATATCAGCACACAAAATTGATCCGATAAACTCCATCTGATACTAATTAGCCCAGGAACCCTGATCTATGTTGTATGCTCTCTGTCCACAGCCCACCTCTGTGTCATCCCTGCCACCCCCTCAGCTCACTTAGGACAAGGCATTTGACTTGCAAAAGTTTTTCAAATCCTCTTTCTGTTGTGTGCATATTAACTCTTTGCACTGAGTACATATTAACTCTCTGTTTGGACTGCATCAGAGTGGAAAGTTCTATTGGCACTCTGAACAACTAGGAATTCCAATGTTTCAAAACACTGTAGCCAAAATTAACAGGCAATGAAATATTAAAACTTCATAGTACAATCTCCTGGGAGTCGAAAGTCGACAGGAGCTTCTCCATGGTTGGCCGCAATGAGAGCCATGGGCGTATGGTGGGTGAAAGAATAAACAAGGAGACAGAGCCTGGCTCCAACTGGCTCAGCCCTGTATGAACTCCGAGGAGCCTCCGTGTGCTCCACTAGGCTGGATCCTCAGGCAGCCCTGGGTTCAGGGGAGTGGCCAGGTAGGCAACCAGTAGGAGACAGAAGTGAGGCTCATCCCATGCAATGACCAGATAGGTTCACAAACACACTGAGCTCTTTCTCCTCCCACCTATTTCCATACAAATTGAGGGACAGGCTGCTGCCCTCATGGCTGGTATGTGCTCAGGGTGGACATTGAGTTGAGGGCAGTCTCAGAACCAGGTGAGTTAATCCAGGATCCTAGTCCATCGTTGCAAGAGCGAAACTCTTTGTCAAGGACCAGGAGAGCCTGCTGAAATCTCAGATCATTTAAAGGCTCAGGTGAGTGCATGGGTATGGGGGTAAGGTGCAGCCAGCTGGAATCTACCCAGACAGCTTTGGGAACCAACCAGTTATTATCACATATATCTTGTTGTTGAGGAGTATTGATGTCAGTTTGAGGACTAAGGTGCATATGATTCAGGCCACGGTCTTTCCAATTACTTGCTATACATCAGAGAGCTGGATAATTAATAAGGATGACAGGAAAAGAATTGACACCTTTGCTTTTGAGCTGTGGTGTTGGAGAAGAGCACTGAACATCCCATGGACAGCCAAGAGAATGAACAGGTATGTCTTAGAGAGGATGCAGCTGGAGTGCTCTTTAGAGGCGAGAATGATGAGGCTTCACCTCACATACTTTGGGCACGTTGCTAGGAGGGACTGACTATTCCTTGGAGAAGGACATGATGTTGGGAAGGGTGGAGGGTCAGTGGGGGAGAGAAAGACCCTCAGCCAGGTGGATTGACACGGTGACTGTTGCAATGGGCTCTTGTGTGTGAGGAAGTGTGAGAATGGTGCAGGGTACAACAGGGTTCAGATCTTTTGTTCATGGGGTCACTAGGAGTTGTACTCTCCTTGACGGCACCTCCCAACAACATGCTGTTGTGAGGTGCTATTGAGTCAACTCTGACTCACATTGACCTTGTGACAACAGATCTCAATCTTGCCCTATCCTGTGCCACTAGCAGCGTCTCCTCCATCCTGGAGCTCCTTGTTAGAGTAGCAGACCAGGTCCTTAACGGTTTTCCTCTCTTACACGGATCCTCCACCTTCCTCAGCCTGATGTCTTTTGCTAAAAGACTGGCCCCTCCTGACAACATCCTCAAAATATGTGAGGCAGAGTCTAACGATCCTTGTCTCTAAGGGGCACCCTGCTTGCATTTCCTCCAACATAGTTACTGGTTCTCCTGGCAATGCGTGCAACAGTCAATGCTTTTCACCAACACCACAGTTCACAGAGATCGATTCTTCTTTTGCCATCCTTATCCACTGTGCAACTTTTAGACGCATATTCAGCAACCAAAAATACCTTGGCTGGTTGGCGTTAGGCACATCTTGGTCTTCAAATCGACATCCTTGTTCTTTACCACTTTAAAGCGTTCCTCGACAGCCTATCATTCCAATGCAAGGTCTTTTGATTTTGTGACTGCTGGCACCATGGGGGTTGACTGTGGACCCACGTACACGAACCTCTCAATTAAACCCCAAGAGCTGCACTTAGAGATGAGCAAGAACTCACCCTGCCGCCACCCCCTCCTCCCCTTTTCGATTCTCTCTGCTGATTTGTTACAACCTGTCTGGGTCTCTAGCTTCTCATCTGACAGCTGGGGATGTAAACATGTGCTGCAGTGGGGATGGCAAGGAGAATGTAATGAGCAGATGCTCCGTGAATACCATTCATGATGATAACGATGGTTTTGTTGTTGCCCTCCGCTCAGCACTGCGTCCATGCCAAGAACTCCAGAGAATGGAAGGCCATCGGTTGCTGTTACTGCTCCCTGTGCTCGTGGCTACGGCTCACTGTCAAGCCTTCACTGGCCCAGAAGACGCCACACGTGCCACTGCTGACCCCCAAGACAGCACCCCCAGGCCCAGCCTGCCCTTCCACAAGATTTCCAGGGGCAACCTTGAGTTTGCCTTTAACCTCTATAGACAGCTGGCCTTAAACTCCCCCAATGGGAACATTTTCTTCTCCCCAGCCAGCATCTCCTCTGCCTTGGTCGCACTCTCCCTCGAGGCCCCCACTGACAGCAGGAACAAGCTCCTGAAGATTCTGGGGTTCAACCTCACCACGGTACCTAAGGCTGAAATCCAGGAGGGCTTCGAGGACCTGCAGCACAGGCTCCACTCTCAAAGTCCCCAGCTGCTCCTGACCACAGGCCAGCACAGGTTCAGCAACCTGGGCCACAGGTCCATGAAGAAACTCAAGAACACCCAGAAACACATCAAGAAACACGTCCATCAGAAGACCAATGGGATGCTGGGGGCCTGGATGCAGGACTTGGGAAATGAAACCACAGAAGTTCTGTTGAATCACATACTCTTCAAAGGTAAGAGAGGGTGTGTGTGTGTAAGCGTATAAATGGAACCTCCTTCCTGGAAATCCAGGCCCCATCCCACCCTCTCCCCACATCTGACCTCATCCAGTGAGTTTTCCTATGGATTCCAATATAGAAAACACTTAGAAAGTGTTTGAACTAGAACCCTTGATGCCGCTTCTTGATTATTTCCAACAGTGGAGAACTCATCACCTGTCCTGTATTTTTTAAGCTACTCATTGAGTTTCTCTTTGAAGGAAGGCTCTCCAAACATTCATGTGGATAAGAACTCTGAGAAACTTGTTTGAACTGAAGCTATTCTCTACCTGGTGCCAGTTCTCTAGTGCTGCTGTGACGGAGATACAAGGAGCATTCTGGTTGCACTTTCTTCAGGACAAATCAGACCCGAGGGATCCTTGTATAGCTTCCACATTGTACCGTGACACTCCCGTATTTGGGGGGATGTGTGGAATTGGAATCCACAACACTTAGCTCAAGAGATTTGAGGTTGGCTGGTTTTTGCTCTCCTCAGTTTCTGACTCAGGGAGAGGGGAGCAGAGAGCTCAAGATTCTGCATTTGAAGCCACCCCCCTCCCTCCCCTGCAGCAGCATTTGCAGAAGGGGGCCCTGGTCCTCACTTTGAGAACCCTGAAAGCAGCCAAGAAACGCCCGCCCAGGGACAGAGACAAAAGAGACAGGGAGAGCTCACCAGGGTGTGTGTCTGACCACTACCTGTTCAGCTTTACTAAGCTCAGTGTCCTTCACAACGACTATGCAGGCTCCATGCGGTGGCCCCTCTCATGCCATTACTCCAGTTCAGGACCCAGTAGCCAGACCAAGCACTCATGGTGCGCAGTGCCCTGGGGGTCTCGGGGCTCACCCGTACTCATGGCCTCATGTGACCCTCTCTCCAGGAAGAAGCAGATACAATCAACACTCCAGTTTTCCAAGGGAGAAAACAGATTTTTGCTTAACAAATTATTTGAATTGTGATTTTAACACAAGTTTACAGAAAAGTTTGATTTTGTACTCATTCATTGTTTCACATCTTACTGTTTCTCCCTCCCTTCCCCCTCCCCAGTTCACTTTTTTAAGTATTTATTCATTGTTGCATCTACAACTCCACAGCACTTAACAACAACATTGTTGTGAGATTTTAAAAACAAAACAAAACAAAAAACCCAGAAGGTGGTTATCCTGAGTCACAGTGTTTCTTAAATATGCAGCTGTCAGTATTGGTTTGTCAGCTTCGACCACATCAGAGCTCTAGTGGCTTAGTCCTTAGGGAGTCACGCTGCTATCCTAAAAGCAGCTAGTTCGAATTCACCAGCAGGTTTGTGGAGAAAGATGGGCAGTCTCCTCCTATGCAATTTACAGCTTCCAAAAACCCACTGGAGGGTCAGCTATGAGTCAATACCAACCCAAGGTCAACAAGTGATGATGAGTGTGTGTGTGTGTGTGTGTGTGTGTGTATGTGTGTAAATGTGGTTTTTACGTTAACATATTTAATCTAAGGAGTTCTTGGTAGCACTTAGTCAGCACTGGGCATAGTTAACATTTGTTTCTTTCTCATCACAACCCAAAAGGGCACAGACTATTCTATTCAACAGATGAGAAGACAAAGGAATAAATATGGCAGGTAATTGGCCGAGGGTCTCAAAGACAGGCAGAGGCTGGCCTTCAAAGCCACGGCAGCTTTGGGAGCTTTGATCTCAATGACATACTGCTCTGTTTAAAAGCAAACAATCCTCCTGATGTCAGCACATCTCTTTCTCAGCCTCGTGGGTTCATCCCTTTGACCCTAAAGCCACCACCAGCCTGAGGAAGTCCTTGAGGGACCCGACCAGGTCTGTGCGGATCCCTACGATGATGCAGAATGCCAGCCACCTCTTCTACGTGGACTACGAGCTGCAGAGCATAGTGCTGCAGATGGAGCTGACCGCCAACACCACCTCTGTCTTCGTCTTCCCGGTGCAAGGCGCGCTGCATCAGCTGGAGAAAGCGCTGAGTCCTGAGAGGCTCATCAAGTGGAATCGCTCGTTCTTCACCAGGTTGCTGCCTGGGGGCACCTGGCGCAGGGAAGGCTCCCGAAGGTCAACCCATTTCCCTCCTCAGTTGCTACCCATTTCCCTCCTCAGTTGCTACCCATTGTCTCCAGGACACTAGCATCTCCCAGAGCACTGCCTTTCTAGGGATTGTCAACACCTGAGTGTCGATAGTCAGTGGCAAGGAGTCGCACTGTCAATTCAGAGTCACCAGCTGCTCTGCGGGAGAAGGATGGGCATGCTCCTCCCATGCGAGCCTCACTGCCTCTGAAACCCTGCGGGAGGGTCTGCTAAGGGTTGGTCCCAATTCATTGATAAGTAACAAAAACAACAAGGTACTATCTAGGGAACTCTGGTGGTCTAGTGGTAAGGAGCTTTGCTGCTATCCCAAAAGCACAGGGTTCAAAGGCACCAGCTGCTCCATGGGAGAAAGATAGGCAATCTTCTCCCATGTGATTTACTGCCCATGAAAACCTGCTGGAGGGTCAGCTGAGGGTTGGCTCTGACTAAATGGGACAGAACAACACTATCCACAGGTTCTATCATCTCCCAGGGAACTGTTATCCTTTCTGGATCTCAACCTTCAGAAATCCCAGCAGCACAACCCTTTTCATCTCTCCACAGTGACCTCGATTTCTTTTTCCCCAAAATCTCCATCTCCCAAAACTGCAGTTTGGAGGCACTGCTTCCTCTGCTGAAAGTGAGAGGTGGCATCCCTAAGCAGCTCCTACTGAACATCTCTAAAGTAAGTTGGGGATCAGGGCCTGGGGGTCTCTCTTTCCTTTGCTCAGTCCCTGGGAGAAGGGGGCGACTTCTGTTTAACAAACAGGATCTCCGGCTTCCTAAGACTTTGCTATCTGCTTCTGTGTATTAAAACGGAGCTCTGACTTCTGTAAGGTCCTGGGGGATCCCACAGGAATCAGGCTCCATTTTTCCCCTCATCTCTGTCCTTGGGAGACAGAGAAGACAAGGGGTGGGTCATGGACTCGCAGTGATCTACCATCATAACCATGTGAAGTAAAAAACCAAGTGGGAAGCTGGAAGAAGCTTCCTAGGTGAGGCCATTCCTGACCTGGGGTCAAAACAGGAGGTTGAGTGGAACATCAGAACTTCCCTAGGCACAAAGTGTAACAGGTCAGTAAGTCATAATACATATTGGAGAGGTGGTAGAGAGATAGGAACTCTTACACGTTGGTGAGATTGTAAAATGGTACAAACACTCTGGAAAGCAGTCTGGTGCTTCCTCAAAAAGCTGAACATAGAAATTCTATATGACCCAGGTATTCTACTGCTTGAAATATACCCAGAGAAAATGAGAACTGAGGCAAAAATGGAGATTTGTCCACCAATGTCCATAGCAGCGTTATCAGCCATCGCAAGAGCATGGAAACAGCCCAGATGTCCAACCACCAATGAATGGCTTGAGAAATTGTGATACATTCACACAACAGAATATTACACAGCACACAGGAGCAATGATTTTGAAAATCACTACCTAACTTTGGAGGGACTGGGGAGCAGCCTGCTAAGTGAATGAACTCAGTTCTACTGTGTAAGACCATTATTGTAGAAATGGAAAGATAACTTGGAAAAGGGGCATGAGGATCCAATGAGTGGAAGGGGGAGGGTAGGAGTAGAGGGGTGAGGATGTGCAGGGGGTGATCATAGGGTCACGTGGTTTGTTGGGTGGAGGGAGGAATGGGTAAAGGAAATGGGAAAGACAGTGATGTGAAACACAATGTATATGAACTTTGTAAGTGAACCAGCATAAAAGATTTTATTTTTTTATTAAAAAAAAAAAAAAAAAGCAAAGTTCCCTAGGGGGTTAGGGAGGCAGAAGCCTTAGAACTTGAGGTCCGTCCACTAGGTGAATCTGGGTCCATGTCCTTCTCAGGAGACTCTATAACCTTCTCTATTAACCCTGGACTCTATCCTGAAGTCAGATGGGAAGCAGCTAAAGCGTAATGATGCAGTAGAAAGTTCTATGAAGGGAAGGGTGGAGTGAACGCCTTCAAGCCTGCCCTGAGGTAGAGAGAGTGGAGGGAAATGCCCAGAGCTGTGTTCTCTGGGGCAGGAGAGTCCTAGGAGGGAAGAATGGAGGGCAGATCAGGAAAGCTGAGGGGCAAGCAAGAACGCCCATGCCTCACACACATGTGCCTTCCCTTCTCGTCCTGGCTGGGCATGCACTGTGTGCTCTCTGTGAAGTGTAGCTCCTTGAACTTGCTATATCCTTGAACCCTTGCAGTGATGTGGTAGGTGCTGTAACCCATTTTTAAGATGAGGAAACTGAGGCTTAGAGAGGCTAAGAAGGCTAAGATTACCATGCTTACTAGCATCAAGGCCAGGGCTCAAGCCTATGTCAAATCAATGGACTCCAAAGGCCCAAATTCTTTTTGTACAGTACTGTGTAGTATTGGAAGCAGGAGCAGCATCCAATTCCTAAGCAATATGCCTGTGGAAAATCTATGAACCTTGATAAGTGATGATAGTTATTCAAAGGCTTCAGGCCTTTTGTTCCTAGGGTTGCTATGAGTCGTGCTCGACTCGATGGCAATCACCAACACCAACAACTGTGTAGCTGTTCAAGGCCATGGCCTTCACTTCACACACGTTTATAAAGGCACAATGGGACTCAGAGAGAGAAAGAAAAAAAAATGTGTGCTTTGGAGTCAAACAGACCTGAGTCACAGCAAGCTGGGAATCCCCTCAGCTTCACTAAGTTTCTGTTCCCACATGTGATATCTGGAGACTTTAGATTGCATCTAAGGGAGGAAGCAATTTGTCCACAGCCACGTCACCCTGGCAGGGGATAGAGCCAGAGTCCTCGAGCTTCAAATGTCCACAGCTGGTAAGGATGATGACGGTGATGTGTTGGGAGAATGAGGGTTTACTGTGTCCCAGACATAGATTCAGTGGTGAAACAGCAGTGGAAAGAGCAGTGCTATAACCTGGGATGGCAGAGGATGCACAATAACAAACATACCAGGTGGGAATAAGCACCACAAGGTAAAACACATCAGGGTATGGGGGAACCACGGGACCTGTTCCAGGACTAGTTGGCAAGGCAGATCAGACCAACATCCTACAAGGGAACAAAATTCTTGGCAAAGGGTACGAGTGCAAATGTTCTGTGTCACAAACAAGTGTGGTATATTCTAGAAGCAGCAAAAAGGCCATTGGAACAGGGCAAATAGGAGTAAGTATGTCAGAAGATGAGGTGGGTCAATAGGGTAGAAGTTAGGACCAAAAAGGCTTTTGACTTCTACTCTGAGCGAGATAGATGGACAGACGCTGCAGGGTTTCAAGCAGAAGAGTAACGTGACAAGATCCAACCAAATTTGAAAGGCTCTGTTGACAACCATGGGAAGAATAAACTATAGCAGGGCAGGAATGGAAGCTTGGAGTTAGACGACCATTGCAGTGAGCCAGGAAAAAAGACAAAGAAAAATAGAAACCACAACAACAACAACAACAACTAGAAAGAGCCAGAGTTAAGAATGGAAGCTTGGAGTTAGAAGACCATCGCAGTGAGCCAGGAAAAAGACAAAGAAAAATAGACACAATCATACACACACAAAAAAACAAAACAAAAAAATAGAAAAAGCCAGAGGTAGGATTTGAACCCAAGTCAGTACAGTTCCCAACTCCAAGCTTTTCACCATGAAGGATCAGTGTCCCAGGAGGGCTATGGTCATTCTGCAGATGAGGCAAGAGTCCTGTCCAGTTCCTCTCTAATCCTCTTCTTTTTGTACCCAGAGTTTGGGGTTCACTGAGCCTATCCCCTACATCTATAAGTTCATGGAAGAGTGAGTTTTTGACACAGAATATCACTGGGGATGCTGAGTCCTACTGCCTCCGTTATCATTAATAACTAAGATTAAATCCTATACACAGGCTTGAGTCTTGATCTACCTGATCCGCCTAGTGTCTTGTTTATTAGCTTTAACTCCTCTTTGCTTCTCAAAACACTAGATCCTTTCTCTCCCATGGCATCACATTCTCCAAACGCTTCCTGCTAACCCTAGGTTGAAGATGGCACTACACGATATTATGGTGCTTGAAGTCCCTCGCGATCTAACCTGCCTGTTCAGGATGAGTTTCCTGCTTTCCTTTGCATATTCTTTCCACTGAGAAAATCCAAATGAGTCCATGATCAAATGAATGGCAATAGGCTCGCAAAATGAAGGGCACAAAATAATAAGTAATATGATTGTATGAAGTGGTTACTGGATGGATACTTGGATTAATGAGTCCATGAGGAAATGATGGATGGATGGATGGATGGATGGATGCATAGATGGATGGATGGATGGATGGATGGATGGATGGATAGATGGATGGATGGATGGATGCATGGATGCATGGATGGATGGATGGATGGATGGATGGATGCATGGATGGATGCATGGATGGATAGATGGATGGAT